TTACGGGTTAATAATTAAGTCAGAGCAAGCCTACAAGAAACCAAAGCAAACGGCCAACAGCTTCATAATTAATATAGTGTCTCGTGTGTTATTGGGGGCTGAGACAGCAGAGGGACCCAGGCAGCTGGTGGGAAGCCCAACATGTTACCCCACGGCTTGCACAGTGATCATGAGTGCTATAGGAAGGCAGGCTGAGCAAGCCATGAGGAGCAGTCCAGGAAACACCCATGCATGGCTTCTACTTCAGTCCCTACCCTGATTTCCATTCATGGTAGAGTGTGATTAGCACATGTGATATGATACGAACCCTTTCCTCCCCAAGTTGCTTTTGGTCATATGTTTTAACACAGCAATAGAAACTCTAAGACAAATATCCTAAGGAAAAAAGTGCCAACCCGTTCCCTCCCCATCCCTGCCAGTGAGGTAGCCAATCTAACCACCTTCCCTCCTCATCCCTGCCTATGAGATAGACAAGCCAACCCCTTCCCTCCTCATCCCTGCCAGTGAGGTAGGCAATCTAACCACCTTCCCTCCTCATCCCTGCCTGTGAGGTAGGCAAGCCAACCCCTTCCCTCCTCATCCCTGCCAGTGAGGCAGGCAATTTTAATTGCTGGTAGACACTCTTCTACAATGTTTCATCTACACCCGGGGCACATGCACACATGAGGACTTTCCTTAATTTACAAAACTTGGGCTCCAGTTTTCTGCACACCACTCTAAAACAAGCCCTTTTCATTTAAGAATGCGCGACTGGCACCTTCCCAGACAGAGCACACAGGTCAAATTCACTCTTTCCAATGCCACACCGTGCATGCGCACCATAACTCAGAGGCACCCCCTATAGATGAGTGTGCACGTTGCGTCTGCGTTCATGGGAGTTGTGGAAAACCAAGGTACCCAGATTCTCCGGCATCCCCAGAGCACACAGACTGTGAGTGCTGTCTGAGCCCATCCACAGGTGCTTTATCCTTTCAGAACCTCAACCTTTCACCCAGACTTTGTCTTCCGGAAGGCGAGCTCCATCGTGCAGCCGTCTTTTCTCACAGAGCCTATTATCTGCCACGTGTCTGACATGGGGCAAATACTTAACCGCTACTGAATTGAAACCAGGAACTAACCAGTCAGAAGTCAGCTGGAAGGCTTCTGACTACAGTGTTCACTGTGTTTTAGTATTTGGGTAGGAAGTAAAAAAAATAGGTGAATCTCATCTCTAGCCTCATATCCTTGCAATGTGTCTGAGTTTAAACACGTCATGACTTACATACGTTGCATTGATGTGCTGTTTCTAAAACTGCTGCTCTTTTGATGTCTGTTAGAGACTGCATGCCTGCACCGGGAGCTCTGCATTCCAAGGCACCACACTAGCCCACGCAGGACTAAGTTGAGCCTGTGGAAGATTTAGAGTTCAAAATATACCCTGAATATTCTTTAAATGGTTTAGTGTGTGTGCGTGTATGTGTGTGTATATATGTGTGTGTGTGTGTGTATGTGAGTACGCATGCATAGGCATATGTGTTCATGTGTACATCGAGGCCAGAGGCAGATGTGGAGCATTGTCTCCTACTGCTCCCTATTTTATCTTTTGGGACGGAGTCTCTCACTGAACCTGGGACACACAAGCTAGGTAGTCAGTGATCCCAGGGATCCCCTGTCTCCATCTCCCAGCCATAGGGTGGCAAACTGCTGCTGGATGCCTAGGCCTAGCTGTTTGTATGAGTGCGGGAGATCCGAGTTCAGGTTCTCTGCTTGTGGCAAGTGCTTTCTTTACTGGCTGAAATACCTCCCAGTCCTTCCCCCCCTGAATATCTGTGTTTGGCAGCTCTAGTACAAAGTGCTGGTGTCCAAAAATGGTTTCCTGAGAATCCTAAACTTTGGGGAATCTCACTCTTATCTAACAATACTTAGGAGAACATGGGAATCTGTGTGCTCAAGGACTCTGCCTTTGCAGGATACGATCCATTAGATCTGGAACAAAACCTGCTAAATCAGCCTTTTAAAAAGACCAGCTAGAAGATCCTCCCCAAGACTGGAAACTCTACTTAGTGTGGCCATTTCTTCTAGATGGTGAGCCCAGAAACAGAACATGATGAATGCACTCTGGTCTCCAGTGATAAAAAAAACACACCACCGGGTTACAAGTCCAATGGGACTATTTGAAGGGACCATTGATGGAAACAGCTTAGCTTACACTGCCACAGGAGTGGAAACACTAATTGTTAGTTTAATAGTGGATTTAATTTTAGCATATGCTCCATATGTCTTAATTAGCAAAGAGTTCGGTTTTTCTCTCTAAATTTTTTTAACGAAGTTGTTTTCCTATTGCAATCCAATTTATTGTCAGTGTTTCTGGCTTGTTGGGGGGTCTTTGTTTTTTTGTTTTGTTTTGTTTTTTGAAGTTTTACTCTCTCACCATAACCTGCAATGCTGGATACTAAAAATATACAGACACCAATATTTTTTAGATCAATGGGATTTATATTTCCCAGAGTTAAAGACCTCACTGTTTATTGTCTGTATATTTAAACAGACACATTAACTTTCTGGTCCTGGGGTTTAGTCTCTACCTTCACATGTAAAGATGACAGCAGACACAGGATTGACCTGATGGGTAAATCCTTCTGTGTGTCTGTCTGTCTCTCTCTGGTTAATGAATAAAGCACTGTTGGCCAATAGGGAAGCAAGACAGGTGGGACTAGGAGTCGAGGAGGATTCTAGGAAACAGAGTCACAGTCAGTCACGATGTAGGACGAGGGAGAAGTAAGAGGTCCGGACCCTTTCTCGGGTGAGAAAAGATCATGTGGAAATACTGAGGCTAGCAGTTTTGGTTAAACAATTAAGTCAGAGCTAGTCAGATAAGAAATCAAAGCAAATGGCCAACAGCTTCATAATTAATACAGTGTCTCGTGTGTCGTTTGGGGGCTGAGACAGGAGTGGGACTCAAGCGCCTGGCGGGAAGACGACACGTTACACTGACCAAACCCAGGGCCGCTCACAGACGACAGCAGGCACAGTTTTGATGTGTTTGAAGATCCCAGAAGAGCTACTTCAGCAAGCGCACATCCACTCATCATTTAGAGCAACTGTACGTAACAGTACTTTGCAAAGACACAGTAAGATCCCTAGGACTTTGATAACATCTATGAATTGGTCCTCAAGCTAGAAACGAGGAGGCAGAATGGGAGAGTCACATGACTATCACGAAGCACAGGCAGTCATGGTTCCCTCCCCTGCTGATGTCACAAAACACCCGTGAAGATGTTTGTGAAACTCTGGTCAAAGGAGTCAGACAGCGTTGGACCGGGAGCTGGATCTCCCACTCACCAGCCAGTGAAGGATGGCCACCAAACACGACAGATCCAAAAGCCTCGGCTCCTTCTGTAAAACGGGAGTTCATGCTAGCACCCCTCCCTCCTTGTGTTATTAAAGGGATGGGGTTACATGACAGATGTGAATGTCTGACAAAACAAAAATAATAACAAGGCTCAGTACCTAGTATTTGGTGTGACGTCTTTCCCCGAATGTTTAGTCAGACCTCATGCTACAGGATGTAAGATCGTCTCTCTGTCTCGTTGCTGTGGCCGTGACAAAATACCCTGGCCAGGGCAACTTAAAGGAGGAAGGGTTTTTGTTTTTGTTTTTTGCTTTTTGGGTCGTGATCACAGAGCTCATTACTGTGGGGAAGTCAAGGCAGGAACTTAAAGCACAAGGCCAGAGAAGGAACGAATGCACGGGAGTGTGCTCTCTCGTGCGCAGCTGGCTCTGTTCACTGTTACACGGATCAGGGCCCCGCCCGTGGAGTGGTACCTCGGGTACTCGGGGTGTGTCTGCTCATATCAATTAATAATCAAGATGCCCCCCCCCACGCATCCACAGTCTGATACAGACAATCCCTTCAGATTCTCTTCCCAACTATTCCAGGGTATGCCAAGCTGACAGTTAAAACCAAGCATCACGGCTACCAGCATGGGCTTGACAGGGAAACAGGAGATCACCGTGACTGGAAGCAGGCTCCGAGACACTCGGGAAAGCAGGTTCTGTCTGTGATGTACTGTCTGTGATGTAGCACTTTTAGTCACTGGGCTATCTCCATATGACGCCCCAGATCATAAACCACACGGACCATGTGAAATCGACGGTGTCATGGGTTGGATGCTCCCCAGGACACATCAAGGTTTCCAGGGGTCCCTGAGGCTTTGCCGGAAGAGGCTTCAGTGGCATATGGAACCAAGTCAACTGGACTCGTACCCAAGAGAGTTTTACAACTTCTGACAGATTTCTCCCTCGTGCTCCTTGCTGTCCTTACTAAGCACAAAGGTCAGGGCTGAAAGCCTGGGCTTCAGAGTCCCTGGGGCCACAGGAGAGCCCCGCCCAAGGGCCTTCCACACAGTGTTCACCCATTTTCCCTCCTCCATCCCTAACACACACAAAGCGTTGGCCACGATTAGGTTAGTCGTAACTCAGGGCCTCATGTCACCACTATAGTCCGAGGGTCTACAACGTAAATCCTGGTCCCTCCAACCCATTTCTAGATACGAAGGTGAATGACGGCATTGCAAGAAAGACCATCAATCAAAGATCAGATCCTGCAAAGCAGATTTTAAGCATTCTGAATAAAGGTTACTTATGATAATCCCGGGCAGCCCCCCCAAAAGGAGCGTTTAATTATCTAACGATGCATTTGAATTCCTAACTTTCTCCCTCTACAGAAAGGGCCAGAGCTTCGGAATTCAGAGGCCCCAGCTCTGCAACCTGTCACAAGTTGCTTCAAGGGCAGTCAGAGAAGCCGAAGTCACTGCTTTGCAAATACACCTTCTAAAAATAATCAATATTTTCCTTCAATGCTTATGACAAAGCAACCAAGACACTTCATGTCAATTGCTTGTGAGCTGCACAATGGCTTGATCTCTTTAATATTTCACTCATAGCCGCTGAGCTATGACTAACTCACTCTCCCAGGCATCACTGCTGGCTCCAGATGGCAAGAAATGCATTCCCTTCACTCCTGCCTGAAAAGCGTTTCTGATTTTTTTCCCCTTTCTTTTTCATCCTTCCATTTCACCTGCGGTAATTATTTCCGCTCTGGATCAGAACGGGTAGGGCAAGAAAAATCGACTCCAGGCAAAGGTTAATACAGGTAAATTTACTTTTTTTTTAAATGGAGTATGAACCTTGCAGCTCTAAATCTTGCTGCATCGAGCCCTGGATTTCTTCCATAACTGAGCTACAAAATGGTAACAAGAGGAAAAATGCCTCTTCCTCCCAGCCAGTCCTTACACAGCTCTTACTCAAGATTGGCAGTGGCCGGCCCATCCCCCACGCCCTCCCAGCCCAGAGGCGCAGTTAGTACAGGTGGGCTGGGCACCGGACCTTGGCCCTCAGGCTTCGCCCACATCCGGCGATCAAGGTCAAGGGCGAGCGCTTCCTTTCCCAGCCTAGGAGCCCGGGGTAGCCGCTACCAAAGTTTCAGGCCCGGTTGGGGCCAGCGCGGCTCTCGCAGACCCTTAACCTCGGGCACCTGTCCAGTGCGCCCTGCTCCAGATCCGGCGCTGGGTCCACGCACCATGCCACCCGGTCCCCACTCACCTCGGGTGGACATGGCTCAGGCAGCCGCAGCAGAATCAGGAGGGAGAGGAGAAACCCGCAGGGCGTGGGGGAGGATAGGATCCCGAGATCACACGCGCGCACACAGGGGCTCGCGACTCCCCAGCCCCGGGCGGACGCCTCCCGCAGGACACCTGCTCCGCGCTCCGGGCAGCCGGGCGGGCGGGCGGGCCGGCTGGGATCCGCAGGGCGCGGCGCTGCTGACAGCTAGGGCCGGCTGGGCGGGGCCGGCTCCCCCGCCCGGTGCCCGTGGGCAGGCCGGGCCCACTCGGGTCCAGTGGCTGCTGGGGATGCACTGCCCGCTAGGCTGTCGCTCCAGGCGGAGCTTTGTTCCTGAGCAAGGTGCTGTGCGGTCCACACTCTGGACCCGCGTCCCTGGTGGTGGTGATGCGGGTGGGGGGTTGGGGGGAGGACTGCTGTCACTGAAGGCTCTCCAGCTTCTAGCCTTGGTCCCAGAGACAGCGTCAGGAGTAATTCTATGCCTTTCCTATCATAAGTGCTGCCGCGCCCGACCGGAGGCAGGATTCCAGGGGCACCTGGGGGGAGGTTGACCCTGACTGTGGAGCAGTTCTTAGCAGTTCATGATAATGGTTCGGCGATTCAGAAATGTTCAAAAAAAAAAAAAACAGGTGGACACAATCCTAGGAAAAATAATTGGTAGATAATCGGAGGAAGCCCAGTCATACGATCCTGTGGAGAGGGAAGTGTTAGAAAACAAACAAAAAAGACATAATGAGAAAAGAAAGTTGCAAACCTCAATAGCAACCCCTAAACTCTGCAACTAAAATCACTTATTGTCTGTCGCCTTGATGACGTCCCATCTGCCTTCTAGACAGAGAAGTGGCCAACGGGTCATCTCAAGATGGCTTTCTTCCGCTCTGTCCTCACCTAGCTACGAACCCTTACCACCTGAGTGGTTACAGGGCAGCCTGCGTGCCCGGCCTCTCCCTCCATTGCTTTATGTTGTCTGCTGCCCTGAGAATAGCTCTTCTACTCGGGACATGGTCATAACTCCAAAACCTGCAGGCTGTCCACCCCCTTACCCCCTCCCTCCCCGCTCCGCTCTCTAGACAGCCTAAGTATTTCGTCCAGCGAATTTCAGCAGAGCAATTCCTCCAACGGAGATTTAGTGAGCATATACTACGTGCCAGTCTTTGTGTCAGGAAGTAGGGCCACAACAGTGAGCAAAAACAGGCATGGCCCATGTCCAAAAGAGCCGCGTCTTCTGGAATGTTAAGAACCTTTGTACACTGCGCGTGCCCGTTTCTCCTGTGTCACCTCTAGCTGCTGCCCAAACACGCAACCTGGCTACTTTCTCCGCGGACAGTTCTCAATAATGATGTTCATTGTCTCCTGCCTTTCTTCACCCTCACTATCCTTTGCAGATGCCTTCCTCCACACCCAAATTATCCCATAAGCCATCTCATAAAATGGTCCCTGGATGCTTCAGGGCGCACTGGCCTCTCAGCTTACGTGTGTTCTCAGAAACGCCTATTTGTACCAGACACACAACTGTCCGAAACACTTGTCTTACGTGGCTGTTCAAGCATCCGAGTTGTGTGTTCTCTTTCCCCAAAGCACTGTGAAAAATCCCATGAACACTGCAGTGCTGCTGAACTGACTTAGTTCTGCAAGGATGTTACAGAGCATGCAGTAGAGGGGGGTGTGACCCAGAGACAGAGGTCCCAGAACTGGGTGCCTGCCTACCCCTTATCCTTGTGATGACACCTACCAGTCTCTTTCTTCATTTGCCGTAGTCATTCTGGACTTTGTAGCTTCATTGTACAACCACAGATACAGTACAAGCAGATCTTACCCTCATGTCCTTAAGGTACTTATAATAGACCACACAGATGGTCATAAAATATGCTCCTAGCTATGTCTGGAATAAGGCAATGTACGCAGCGTTTTTAGGCAGAGAGCAAGGATAGTCAGCCCTCAACTTAGCTCTAGGTTTCACGTCCATGGAATCAACCAAATGTGAGCCATGACTATTGAACAGAACAGCTGTATCTCATCATACTCGGTGGCACATGCCTGTAGTCCCAGCACCCGGGAGGCCAGAGCAAGAGGATCATGAGTTCAAGGCCAGCTGGTGCTACATAGCAGAACTCCTCTGAAGAGAAAAAAAATGTGTTTGCATTGAACATGCATATGGGTTGGGTTTTTTTTTTGCCTTAAATGACCTAATATATCATTTTACATTGCATTAGTTATTACAACTAAGAACTAAGCTGGAAATGGTTTAAAGAACACAGGCAGAAATGCATAGTTTGCATGCAGCTATGACAGCATTTAATATAAGAATTTTGACTATCCACTCCAAGGGACACTGGAACTAGTCTCCCAAGGACGCTGAAGGACATGTGTACTCAGGACCTAGCAGTTAAAAAATAGGTTTATTGTCAGAGATGATCATTAGCTGGAGTAATTTTTCTTCAGGGTTAGTACCACTTCTCAGTTTTAAAATACATATGGTTGGTTTATATATCTTTGTTTGTTTAGTGTGTGCATGTGTGCATGTGTGTGTGTGTGCATGTGTGTGTGCGCGTGTGTGTGCATGTGTGTGTGTGTGTGTGTGTATGTACATGCTCACACATATGTGCATCAATGGGTGTCAGAAGTCGGTATCAGATGTCTTCCTCTCTTACCCTCCGCCTTATTTTGTGAGACAGGGTCTCTTCATTGAACCTAGAGCTCACTGTTTCCACTGCACTGGGTTGGTGGATGGGATCTACCTGTCCCCTCCCCAACCCCAGTGCTGGACTCAGACGCATGCCCACACCAGCTTTTATGTGGGCTCCGGGGCCTGAACAGGGGTTCTTGCTTCTGGGCAAGCGTTTACCCCCTGAGCCGTCTCCCCAGCCCCACTGACTTCTACTTTGCAGCAAGCTACTGCGGAATGCCCTGAGAGCCAGTCACCTTCCAGAACATCTGAAGTGTTAGACATCTAAGAACTAATTCTTCCAACCTGTGAGAATCAAGACAGTCTCTCCTGAAATAGTAACTGCGGCGCAAGCAAGCTGGAAAGAACAAGATATCCCTGGAAACATGGTGAGTGCCATCTTAAAGGCTAATAAATGCTATGCTGCAAATTCTATACTATAGACTGGAGGAATTTGGATTGAACCAAAGAAGACGAATAATCCAATCTTGGGGTGGGCGTGGTTAGCTACTTTGACTCTTGCCAAAAGCATGCTTTCAACTTTGAATGGAAGAGAGCTAGTGTGCATTATTCATGCTCTCTGTCTGTAAACGACTGAATATTGATTTTCACTCCCACGGCGTTCAGCTGTTGCTGTCACTTCTCATTCTTAACCTGAGCGTCTTACAGGCAGCGTGAGGATAACCCTGATGTATGTGGAACTTCTAGTAAAAAGGCCTTCATAGTGTCGCATCAAACTCCTTTTTGGTGCCCTCCGTGTCGTAGACAACGAGGAACTCCAACAAGGAAGGAACGGATCTCAGGTTAAGCACACAGGGTAGAGAGGGTGACTCTCAGGCTCTTTGACAAGCCACGCCTCCAGGGGAGGCTAGGTGACCTCAGGTTGGTGGAATCTCAGGCTCTCAAGAAAACAAAGCAAAACTCTATAAAAAGCGTCCTCGAGGAGGGAGGGGTGGCAAGTTGATGCTGAAGGTCTCTGTCCCTCCTGGTCTCACAGCCATTGAGTTCCAAATGAACACACAGAGGCTTCTATTAATTAGAAACTGTTTGGCCAATGACTCAGGCTTCCTATTGGCTAGCTCTCTCTTAATTATTAACCCATTTCTATTAAACTATGTATTGCCACGAGGCTGTGGCTTACCCGTAATGCTCTGGCATGTTACTCCTTCAGCGACTGCATGGCATCTCCTTGGCGACTCACATTCCTCTTCCCAGAATTCTCCTGGTCTAGTAGCTCCACCTATCCTTCCTGCCTGGCTACATCCTGCCTGCCCATTGGCTGAAACAGCTTGATTCATCAAAGAAACATACACTCATGGCAAACAGAAGGACTTCCCCCATTATCTCCTCTTTTCTCTCTAACTAAAAAGCAAGGTTTTATCTTTAACACAGTAAAATTATATAAAACAAAAGTTATCAAGCAAGAACTGTAGTTAACACTATTTAGTCCATTAACATTTGGCAAAATTTAAAGAAAATATTCTATCATTTTCCTATCTTGGTGAGTCTAAAGTTTTATACGTAACTTATCTTTTATCATAACTAAGGAAAACCATAACCATAATTATCTGTCTTTAACTCCACCAAAAACCCCAGAAGGATAATATATAAACTCTAGAATTGACAGAGACTCCTCACTGCCTGGACAGTCACCCAAGTTCCTCTGTAACATTGGGGCATCCATCTTCAGTCCATAGGCTCAGAGTGTCTGGTAGAGGTTTTGATGCAGCAGGAAACTTGAAGGACCATCCTGTCTCTTGACCAGTTCAGCAATCACTTCTCTCTGTAACCTGCTTGTCTAGTTTAGACAGCGTGCTGTCAAGCAGTCAGGGCAAGAGCAGTTTCTTGTCCAAATGGCTCTTCCTGTTAAGAGGTCTGGCTGTCTTTCAGAGAACCCGAATTCAGTTCCTAGTATCCATGTCAGCTGTTCAAATGACCTATAATTCCAACTCCATGGGGTCTGACTCCTCCTTCTGGCCTCTGTGGATACCCACTGATGTTGGGGAAGTCCTGTGTATATGTCAATAAATTACTGCTGGCCAATAGGAATCTAGATAGGTGGGGCTAGGAGTCCAGGAGGATTCTGGGAAGGAGAAACACAAGAGAGTTCAAGATGTAACACCATTGGGGTAGGAAGCCCGGAAACCTCTCCGGTAAGAGACATACTTAGATTAACAATTATGGGGTAATTACTTAAGTCAGAGCTAGCCAGTAAGAAACAAGCAAGGCCAACAGCTTCATAATTAATATAGCCTCCTGTGTGTTTATTTGGGACTGATGCGGCTCTGGAACCAAGCTGGTGGGAAGGCTTCTCTCAAAGAAAAAGCTTCTCTTAACACACTGACATGTAACACACACACACACACACACACACACACACACACACACACACACGGGTGAGGGGAGAATAGATATTTTTAAAGCATCCCTTTCCTTGCCCATGTCTGTGGGACATGGCAAGTCCCACAGTAAATACTGAATCACCCATGTTTATTACATACAGTCTTTTTACACCCCATCAAAAGAGGGGAGAAGGCAAAAGACTTCTTTACCAAGATACAAAGAACAAGCAAACACAATTACCTTCTCAATACCCAAAACATCAGGTAACTATCTCCAAGTTACGTATTCTATTGTTCAGGAAGGACATTCAGCGACCACACCAAGTGGATTTCAGTCAGGGATGTTTTATTCCAATAAACTAATCATGGTCCAGGGAAAAGGAGGGGCACAGGACCTCCTTGGAATTACTTTGGATGTAGTCAAAAAGGGCACCAGGTCAGACAGTGACTTAACAAGAAGGTTTGGTGAGCTATGCCAGGCAGCATGACCCACAAGTCCAAAGAGCCTATATGATTGGTTCAATAACCTTTAGCAGAGGAGAAGATGCAGGAATTCTCCTACTTTCATAGTTTAAAAAAGAAATCTAAATAATAGAGATTGATGTGGAACTTTTTAAAAAGTTAACGAAACCATGAAGCCTCAGGAAACTGCCTCTCTGCTAGACCCTGCCCACCCAGGTGTCTAAAAATGCAAATGAGACCACGCAGCTGATGAGAGCTTTATAGCTAGGACTGCCTTCTCCTTCAGCCTTACCAAAAGAAACCTATAGGATTGTTTCAGATTTAAAGGGTTTTTTTATGCCACACCTTTAGCTCCCCAAGATTGTTGTAGATTCACAGTTACTGTTACAACAGTTAATTTCAAAGAACCCATGAGGAGATACCATTGGAAGGTCTTGCCCCAGGGCGTGGCTGATAGTGCAACATTGTGCCAGAAGTTTGTGGCTCAAGCCACACAACTTATTAGAGACCAGTTTCCACAGGTTTATATCTCTTATTATAGGGACGATATTCTACTTGCGCACGAGAATGAAGAAGTCTTGCTTATAACATATGGACACCTGCTGCGGTGCCTTGCCGGAGCAGGATTAGTAATCACCCCTCAAAAGGTGCAAAGATAGTCACCTTTTCAGTATTTGGGACATATGTTATATCTTAAAGAAATTAAGCCTCAAAAAACTAGAATAGACAGTTTATAGACTTTAAATGATATGGAGCACTCGGCCCTAAATGGGAGGCCTTCGTCAAACCCTTCCCATCGAGGCTCAGGGGTCTGTGCGGGAGAGGAGGGAGACAGAACCTCAGAGCCAGAGATGGAGGACGGCTCCAAGGAAACGGCGTCTTCCTGACGCAGCAGGACCGATGCACGTATGGACTCGCAGAGACCGTGACAGCGCACACGGGACCTGCACAGGTTCAAACCAGACAGAACCCCAGCACTGGGAAGGGGAGGAGGACACAAAGACCCAACTCTGACCAGGAAGCTGTTTGTAATTGGTACCCAACGGGAAAGGAGGAGCAGTTTTCTCGATCAAAGCATCTCTGGGTATCTTAACCACACTCCAGGGTAAGCTCCACGCCTAGGAACCAGGATAGAGTCCATCTTTTGCATACCTCATTTTTGTCTTTATATTTTGTCTTATTTTCTTTGTTTTGATTTTCTTTCTTTTTTCCTTTGGTTTTTAATTTTTATTTGTTATTCATCTTTTTTTTTTTTTGAGAAACAGAGAGCATGAAGTTGAGTGGGCAGGGAGGTGGGAAAGGCCCTCAGAAGTCACGCTTGGACAGGGAAGCTCAAATATTGCCAGAGTGATTTACCCTCCTCCTTAATTTTAAAGCCCTGGAAAAGCAAACTGATTGGAAAAGACCTTAACAGCTTACTAGAATGAAGGAAATAAGGAATAAAATTAAGCATTCAACAAAGCAATGGCTACAGTACTCAGCATCCAGGAAAAAAAAATTGGCTGAAGATGCCAAGGAAAATGTACCCCAAAGCCCAAAGACGAGCCAGTCATTAGCACAGGCTCAGAATGGCAGACAGACAGACAGACTGTCACTAGCAGACAACAGTGATGATGTAACTCAACTATGCTCACCTATTGGAAAGAAAAAAAAAAACAAGGCAAGGATATAAGGAGAAAAGAAATGCTTTGGCTCTCTCTATAGATGTCATAGAGCTGTGGCAAGATGCCCGTGTTCCAGTTTGTTTTCTGTGAAGAGAAAAAGGTTTGTTTGGCTCACATTTCCGCGTTACAGATGGTCATCAGAGGAACACGGGACAAGAACTCCAGGCAGGAACCCGGGGGCAGGAGTTAATGCAGAGGCTGTGGAGACATGCTACCTACAGCTTGCTCCCCTTGGCTTGCTCAGCCTGCTTTATTATGCATCCCATGGCCACCATGCCAGGGATGGTGCCGCTCACCGTGGCCTGAGGCCTCCCACGCCTTGGCCATTTGTGTAGAGGCTCCTCAACTGAGACTCCCTCTTCTCAAATGAACCTGGCTTACATCAAGGTGACAGAACACTGTCCTGCAGCAGCTGAGGAAGACAACTTAGAAAAGGCAGAGCTAATTTGGACTCATGGTTTCAGAGGCAATTAGATCAGCGCTGTGCTAACCTTATCAATGAATCCACTGATCAGCTCATAGTTCAGTGGGCTTATTGGGAAATGGGACCTAGCTGTGGGGAGGGGACTGCATGTCTTGAAAGGTCTACTCTGGCCCATCCTCTTGCTGGCCAGTGTGAGGCGTGGCGCCCTCTGCTGGCCCGTGTGAGGCATGGTGTCCTCTGCTGCCCTGTGTGAGGCCTGGCGCCCTCTGCTGGCCTGTACAATAAGAACGCTGGAGAAAACTGTTCAGAAGGGAAGGAAATTATACCAGCTAGAATCAACAGACGTGGATTTGAATATGATCTGGGTATTGGAATCATTGGAAAAGGAATTAAAACTAGCTATAATAATACATTAAACGATCTGGTGGGGGAACGTTGACAATGATAAGAGAGGGAATTTCAGCAAAGAGATGGAAACTATGAAAAGTCTAATGGCA